GAACGCAAACAAAAAACAACTCTGATAATGTATGCACTGTCCTTGAAATTGATTGGTCACACCCGAGACAGCTTTCTTTAGAGCCTTCGTCTCACATGGTGTTGGACCAGAAGATGCCAAAAGGCGCACAACTCAAAGACAATGCACCATCAGAGTATGAAAGCTCGGGGTAAGCATTTACACCATTGGAAACCTCATTTGCCAGTAACACAATGATAATTGTTATTTTTTGTTGCCAGATAACAACTCAAACTGTAAATGTTGTGGATTAACTCAACACACCGGTGAGCTAAAGTAGTGAATGATGTCTTTTGTCAACGTGACACTTTTTTTGCTGATTGGCCATGTCGGGTGGTGGAGGGTTACGACACATTTATAAATAACGCGATCTAACCCAAAAACCTTAATTATGAATAATATTGGTCGCGAAAGCCTACGTGTAAACATGACTCCTTGTAAAAAAAAGTGTCAGTTTTGTTGCCAGATAAAAGGGTAAAAAACAATGATCATATTTTGTTACTGGCAAATGAGGTTTCCAATGGTGTAAATGCTTACCCCGAGCTCTCATACTCTGATGGTGCATTGTCTTTGAGTTGTGCGCCTTTTGGCACCTTCTGGTCCAACGCCATGTGAGACGAGGCTCTAAAGAAAGCTGTCTTGGGTGTGAACCAATCAATTTCAAGGACAGTGCATACATTATCAGAGTTGTTTTTTGTTTGCGTTCCGACCGCAGGTATTGTGGTCAATGGAAACATGACTCCTTGTAAAAAAAGGTGTCAGTTTTGTTGCCAGATAAAAGGGTAAAAAACAATGATCATATTTTGTTACTGGCAAATGAGGTTTCCAATGGTGTAAATGCTTACCCCGAGCTCTCATACTCTGATGGTGCATTGTCTTTGAGTTGTGCGCCTTTTGGCACCTTCCGGTCCAACGCCATGTGAGACGAGGCTCTAAAGAAAGCTGTCTTGGGTGTGAACCAATCAATTTCAAGGACAGTGCATACATTATCAGAGTTGTTTTTTGTTTGCGTTCCGACCGCAGGTATTGTGGTCAATGGAAACATGACTCCTTGTAAAAAAAGGTGTCAGTTTTGTTGCCAGATAAAAGGGTAAAAAAAACAATTATCATATTTTGTTACTGCCAATTGAGGTGTCCAATGGTGTAAATGCTTAACCCGAGCTCTCATACTCTGATGGTGCATTGTCTTTGAGTTGTGCGCCTTTTGGCCTCTTCTGGTCCAACACCATGTGAGACGAGGCTCTAAAGAAAGCTGTCTCGGGTGTGGACCAATCAATTTCAAGGACAGTGCATACATTATCAGAGTTGTTGTTTTTGGTTTGCGTTCCGACCGCAGGTATTGTGGTCAATGTAAACATGACTCCTTGTAAAAAAGGTGTCAGTTTTGTTGCCAGATAGAGTAAAACAAACAATTATCGTATTCAGGACTAGTTTAAGAGCAACTAGCTGATGTTGTAGTTTGTTGAAATCACCCTGGAGCTTAGCAATCACGTCATCCGGAGAGCGGCCAGCAGTAATCAGTATCATGTCATCTGCAAAAAGATTTACCCTGGAATGATCCAGGTCAGTGCCCAAGTCATTGACATAAAGAGAGAACAAGAGGGGGCCGAGGATGGAACCCTGTGGAACCCCTTTTGTTATCTTAACACTGTTTGACCTCCAACCCTCTGTGATTACAGTTTGGATGCGAGAAAAGAGGTATTTTTTAACCATTCTACTGCGTGTTTAAAGAAACCGAGGCAACTTAGTTTACTAAGCAGGGCGTTGTGGTCGACTGTATCAAAGGCTTTTGACAAGTCAAGAAAAAGACAGGCACAGTACTGCTTATTATCAAGGCTACTGTAAATGTGATTTAGAGAGTCTAATGCAGCAGATGTGGTGCTGTATTTTTTTCGTAACCCAGATTGTTTTAGATGTAATAGATTGTTGTCGGACAAGAAACTGCTTATTTGCTAGTTCAATAATTTTTCAAAAATTGTCATCACCGGGGACAAAATAAAAATAGGTCGGTAGGTATTTGGAACATCTTTAGGGCCCCCTTTGTGAAGTGGACGAACATAGGAATGTTTCCATTCTAGAGGCACTGATGCTTCTTTGATGGACAGGCCCCATTCCCACCTCAACCATCACCAGAGGTCACGGGGCGAGGCCAAGCACCGACTCGGCTACACGGAGGGAACCACTGCTTTGGATAGAAAGTCCGAAATGTCGCCTGTATAACGTTATCTTAAAGCCGCAGAGTTATTGACGAATGTGTTGACTTTGTTGTGAACTGACTTCGTACGCCGCTGCCAATGCAACGTCACCCAATAATCTGCAGCCATAGATTCGCCCACGAGAGTGCACTGCGTGTCCGTGCACTGCAGTGAAAGCAGCAGGGCCAGGCTCCAGCCAATGCGTTACGGATTCCTGTGCTGAACTAGGAACCATATTTAAGAGGGATTCTCTCACAATTATATCTGCCAGTTCACCAGGATCGGTTCAAGCGAGCCTTACTGCTGATGAGACACTGAGTCAGTTTAACGTCGGCTTTGGTGACCAATATTATTCATAATAAAGTTTTTGGGTTAGATCGCGTCAGTATAAATGTGTCGTAACCCTCCACCATCCGACACAGCCAATTAGGGATTTGGGGTCGTCCAGAATGACGTCACGCACCTGGGGGGGGGGGGGTCAGGCATTTGTGACGATGTGTGACGGGGGGGGGGTTTGAGAAAGGTGACGTCACATCAAAATGCGCAACTTTAAATATAAACAACACGTTCTACTCAATTAAATAGAATGGTTATAACAACGTGACTTTACCGAAAGAGCTAAGAATATGAACACTAATTTTGATTAATTTTTATTATTAACTATTTGATTATTTAAATTTACTAAGGTCACCTTTTATTTATTCCATGAAGGAGCATTGTGCTTCTCCATCAGAGAATGGAGAAGCATAAATTTAGTTATTCAACATTTTGATTTTAATGATTCTACCAGGGCTTTTCATTCTGTGGAATGAATATGTGATTGTTATAATTGTACTCTCCATTTTGCTGCATTCTACTACAAAGTTTAAAGTATTTTTTTACAGTTATAATTACTTTTAATATATGATAATTATAAGCGAATTTAAATATATTCTGAACATCTGCAGTTTTAGTGAGACCATGAATATTTAAAAGTGAATTTTATGCAAAATTTCAGCTTTCTAACGCCTCCTTTTTAATACGTGTTTTCTCCTACAACATCAGAGTGCAGGGCCACATTCAATAGGCACTACAATGACGATAGTTTAAAGCGATTTAAAAGGTTTTATTTTCAAAATGTAAATATGGTTTTGGGGGGGGGGGGGGGGCAGAGCTTTGTGACGTCATATTTGAGGGGTTGTCTGACTTTTTGTGACGCCGTGTGACGAGGGGGGGGTCAAAAATCGTCAAAAATCGCGTGACGTAATTTATGGACGGCCCCTTTGTCACGTAAACAAAACGCCAATTAGTTACTACTTCAGCCCACCGGTGTGATGGAGAGGATATCCACCACATTTACAATTACATCCAGCATCATCGGGCGATTTGCCAAAATAGTGAAGCAATACACCTACTTCCGGTCAAAAATAGAGCAGCAGCAGGACGACGTCATCACTGAACCCAATCAGGTGTAGAGATCAGAGACGGAGGAGGGGGGGGTACACTGAGTGACGAAACCAGTGCACGGACACGCGGTTATATTGAGTTAATGGGTAGGAGTCTTACTCTGAGGTTGTGCGGCTGATGGGATGACCATAACCACTCGCATTGTTTATTTGGAGGCGTCCATGTTGGAGGCTGTTCCGCTCGATTGTTCCTTGAAATGCAGCAGCTGTAGCCGCGTGTTTGTCCACAAGAGGGCATCACGTGACTTGTGTAGAACCGACAGTGCATATACCGTATATACATTACAACTCTATAGCCCTGACCAGTCTAAACTGTCATGCACATACTGAATATCCACAACCCTATAACCCCAACCCTATAGCCCTACAGGAGTCCCAACTCAGTTTCGGGTCCCAATTCCATTTTGGGGGTCCCAATTGCATATCGTTGAAATTAGGACTCCGAGATGTGTAATTCAGACTCCTGGAAGTGAAATTGGGACTCCTAGATGTGTAATTCAGACTCCTGGAAGCGAAATTGGGACTCCTAGATGTGTAATTCAGACTCCCGGAAGTGATATTGGGACTCCCGCGTTGGAATTGGGACTCCTCGTGTTGCCAAGTGAGATGCCTAAAAGCAACATGGTATATACTGTATAGAAATGTTCAGTACACATTGGTTCGGGTCTGCAGGAGATATTTAAGGGAAAAAAACTATTTTGGCAGTGAAATGGTGCTGTAAATTTGCTCAGTGCGCCACGTTTTTAGTGTACATTCAGGTATTTCTGGCCGTTTTCCTTCTGAAAATTGTATGGGACTTTAGATCGAGGTGGTTAAATCATTTGGCAGGCACTGAGAGAGCAACAGACACAGGGTGAGTAGATAGAGTGGATAGATAGGTGAGTAGGTGAGCCTTACCTCCATCTCATGGTCTTTAGAACTTTAATGGTGCTCTACAGAACGGTACTGCTGATACTGATAATACTGGAATAGCAGAAGCATCAATTATCAGCATCGCTTGCTTTTGCTGATTATTCGGTATCATCAGTACAATGTGCTGATGATGAATCATCAGCAGATGATGAATCATCAGCATATGCATCAGATGATTCTGTATTCTGTAATATCAGCACATGATCATGTATCATGAGCATCATGTTCTGATGATGCATCATCACCATTACAATTGTAATACAAATCATCTGATGGAACAGAAGCATAATAATCATCAGCCTCGCTCACTATTGCTGCTGCTGAAGATGGTACTACTGATGGAACAGCAGAAGAATCAGCAGCATCATTTTCTGTTGCTGCTGAACGAAAAACAGATTTAAATTAATAATGTAACGCCAATATAGCCACAAAGAAGTCAAAAACATTTTATTGATGCTAAAGAAATAGTGTATCATTGCTGTTCCAGACATAACGTATACACTGAACAAATTGTGATATAACAATCCAATTTCCCTTGTATAAAGTCAAGAGGAATACAGTACTCTGCAAATTCCATTACAAAAATCATAAATTGCCATGCCCGATATGTTCCTAACCTACAGCCGTGGTCATTAAATTTGAAATACAAAATCAATTATTAGAGCTGTAGATACGAGTTATCCGAGTGGTATTTAGATTCGTTATCTTTACATTTTAAAAGTCATATAAATGTCAATATACCACAACATTTAGATAAACAAGTTCCTGTATATATAATAAGATGTTACAATGACATTGAATACCTGCTGTAATATGTTCAATAAATGGAGACACCTGAATGACTGTAGGCTCTTGTGTGACCACACACACTGTTTAAGTACGACTTGTAGCTCCCACATTTATCAGCAAAAGGTAAAAACAAATCATATTGAATGAACACGACTGGACAAGGTCCCCTCTCCGGTCTGCTTGCAGCACAGCTCAATGGCACAAATCAACCGATTCAGAATTATGCTGCGTACAAGTCAAAGGTTATATAAAATATAACGGTACAGTCCTGGAATCGTCCACTCCCGCCAGTTGGCCATAGGGCCTCTACTCGAGGGAGCTCTAGAGGGTACCTGGTCTACTCTTCCATGCTCACCAGATGTGGTGGAAGAGGTGGGCAAACCCACAGTTAACTCCAGCACACCTGCCGATCGCCTTAACGGTGGTGAACCCATCCACTGCTGAGTGGGCAAAGGAAGTGGGGGGTGGTTTAAGAGACTACCCATTGTTTCAACTGCCGTGCTGGGAGATAGAATACAACTGGCGACCTGCAGATTGCAAGTCCAGTGTGCCGACCATTACACTCCGAGAGCTCTATAAAACATACGCTTGTAAACATATAAATACAAACAGGATCATGGTAATTGGCACCAAAGGTGTGGCATTAATCATTACAACCAAGGCGTTTTGACAGTACCGAAGTACCATGTTGATCATTAGCACTTGGAATTATATTTATTCAAATAAATAGCCTGCATCCTCTTTGCAGTGCATAAACACTTTAATAAAGAATAAACAGAATCTTCCGCATACTTCGCTTCTCGTTTCTGCAATTCAAAAACCCAAAACAGACAATGTCCTAACCTGCAAAAGGCAAGGTCACCTTGTTAAAACCAAACATCTTGCGATTATGGTATGCTGAAGCAGCACATACTTTTCAGCGCATGTTATTGTTGTAACAGGAACATTTGTCAAACATTTCTCGCAGGCAGTGGTTTCAGGAAGGCAAAACGATGGCCTCGAGTGAAAGACGTCGTGTGATACATCACACGCAGCCCAAGCAGATCGGTACCACTACCAATGCAGTGGCACGACATGGCGCTAGTATACAGCTTCATGTGAAGGCATTCATTTTGAAAGACAAGGTGAGATTGAATGCACTCCAAAGAATTTTGAATGTATAATACGAACTTATTTTAAAGCACATTTGTAAAGATTATTAACACTCAAGTTTTACATACATGCTGCATGCAATGGCTTGAGTAACATGCGGTAATTTAACAGCTTGTATATATGCATTTCAACTTTCCATTGCTGATTTTAATATTTACACAGCATGCATGCAATCCCTGAAGCAGGCACAGCTGAGTATACGCAATGTATGTATGTTGAACTTCTTTCGCACGCTACGTAGCCAACCGCACTAATCGAAGGTGCAAACATGTGTTGGGGATCTTAGTAACATGCTTGAGTTGCCTCGCCTGGGTCGCTAAAGATTAACATCAGAATGCAATTGGTGCTAGGCTTACCACCTTTTCCACTGCTGACAAAACTCGGACATTGTTCTATCAGTCTAGGTCTATAAAAATGTTCAGCCTCCTGTAATAAAGTCTAATACAAGACCGTACCACCAACATATCTTGGTATAAATACATTTCTGGCACCAGAACAAAAACACTTTGAAATTGTAATGTGGAGCAACAGACGTGTGGTCGAGTGGGTACAAGGCAATTAACTCTGCAAATTTGAAACCACATCACCCTCATACAAATTCCGGTTGCCGATCCTCATCAGCCTGCAGCTCAGGTTTTCCCAGTGGCAGAGACAGCAACACGCTGGTGTCAGATTTCTTGAGCTGACTCGCGTTACTATTATTCAAGTTGTCATTTAGGCATGGGGAAATAGCAGTGGGCGGTGGATGACATTTGGAAGAAATACTTAACTGAGAAGCATTGGTTGAAAACACGGTACTGTTGGTCAGGCTAGATGGCTGGTAAAACATTTCCTGTGTGCATAGTGAACGGGTCAGCTGCGTCTCTTCGTGCGGTCGCCCGTGATTATTTTCGTGAACGATTACGTAATTCTTTCCCACACAGCATTTTTGTTCATCAGACACAGACGCCATCACAGGTTGATTCTTGCTGCTTCTGCAAATGGTTTCACTGTCTGGACCGCGAGAGTCCGGAAGCCATATATGAGAGTGTTCCATTTGCGGTGCGTAATCTGCGCTGGTCACTCCTGCTGTTGCGTGGATGACATCGCGCAGTTTTGTGGGCCTACTGTGAGGCCTCACTGGAGGTCTCCTGCGTGGGACAGCACTGCCTGTACCCCTGATGAGCCTTGGAAATTCCTTAAAATCCACTGCAACTGTGTTCCCTGTAAAAAAAATATACAATGTGCTATGTCAAATATCTATATGAGGGTCAGTGGATAACACATTCATTAAACTCCCTCTGCATGGGTTTTCATCACCTGGCTATATGGAATGGCAGTCCAAAAAGTGGTTTAATTTCCATCTGTATGCCATCTTTACAGGGATTCAGTGCTATTCCCCTTGCACGCATGGATTTTTCTCCGGGTCTCCGATTTCCTCTCAAATATATAAACATTTGTGAATGGAGTTGGCCAAACAACCTAATATAAGAGCGCATAACTTGAGCAATAGTTGCCCCCGGTTCTGGATGTTTTCCCCACTTGTCTATGGATTACCGCACCTCCGCACATTTTTATCTGCAAATTGCATGAATGCCACTATATCCAAATAAAACATTATTAACACTCTATGATGTGTGTGCTGATTATATTAAACAATTATACATGACTTTAAAAACAAAGGCTTTAAACTAAATTGCTACTTTTATTCTTCAGAATCTTTATTTATATTGGAGGAATCCGTTGAGGTATGAGCCTCTTTTTCAGATGCCCAGTATTTTCACAGATGCCAAGTATTTTTGGTTGATATGACCATTATAAACTCTGAAACTCCTCCCTCACAATGTTTCCAATGATTGAAAACTTAAGTTTTGAAGTATGTTCACTGCTTACCACTCGTGGATCCATGCTGCTGATAGCCTATGGCTTCACGCGAAGACCAGACCTCATCTAAGTTACTCTCAATGGTAGAAAATTCTCACCAGTATTTTTGACGTCCACACTTGCAGCCACAGCCCCTGGCACCGTGGTACTGTTAGATGTCAGCTGATCTGATCCTGCCATCACAAAGCAGAATGGGTCATGACCCTCCTCTTGAGAAGAGCTTCGTGAGGAGCAGTATTGAGAATGCCCAATATTCTCTGCACAAGGGCGCTCATGCAGGTCCCATTCCAGACCCGCTGCTGCACACAGCCTTGGCAGGCAGCTGCACTCGGCAACACATTCAGCTCTACACCCCAACACTTCGGAGCACTTGGCATGCTCCACGTTCACACAAGGTGGCATGTCATTATTCCCAGCAGCACTCTTCAAAGTTTTGTCAAATTTCACAGGATTGGCAGCACTAGGTTCCTCTCTGACAGACGGGCCACAGTCATCGGTGGAAACAACATAACTAATTTCACTGAAGAGCTTCTTGTGCCAAAATATTAACATTTCCACCACATGTGACTGGATGGGATAATCTACAAGCGAGCACAGATCAGAGGAGCCCTTCATTGAGCATGGGCGCAGTAACGTTGGTCCAAACACGATTCCAAGATTGCGGAAAGACATCTTGTTCTCTTCTTCTCTGTCTGTCACCCTGTAGAATAAAAAAAACGTTAGAAATTACCTGCATTACCGTATTTTCCCGCATATAACCCGCGGGGTATACCACTTTTTACAAACAAAACAAGACCCTGTGGGGTATATGGAGGTACGGGCTATCCCAAAAATATTTTACATGTGAGACATGTCATAACTCGTTACATTTTTTCATGGTAGAACTATCCACTATGCAACACTTACCTTTGACTAAAGCACTGCTGAATAAACCACGCGCACTAAAATTGCACGTTATCACGTTTTAAATGAATTGTTTGTACAATTAAACGACAATGTTTGAAGTGCGCGCACTGTTTACCGGCGACGGGAGAGCTGGGGGGAGAGAGAGGTGGGGGTTGGGGGGTGGGGCAGCTGGGGGGAGAGAGAGGTGGGGGTTGGGGGGTGGGGCAGCTGGGGAAGAGAGAGGTGGGGGGTTGGGGGGTGGGGCAACTGGGGGAGAGGTGGGGGTTGGGGGGTGGGGCAGCTGGGGGGAGAGAGAGGTGGGGGTTGGGGGGTGGGGCAGCTAGGGGAGAGAGAGGTGGGGGGTTGGGGGGTGGGGCAGCTGGGGGGAGAGAGAGGTGGGGGGTTGGGGGGTGGGGCAGCTGGGGGGAGAGAGAGGTGGGGGTTGGGGGGTGGGGCAGCTAGGGGAGAGAGAGGTGGGGGTTGGGGGGTGGGGCAGCTAGGGGAGAGAGATGTGGGAGTTGGGGGGTGGGCAGCTGGGGGGAGAGAGGTGGGGGGTTGGGGCAGCTGGGGGGAGAGAGGTGGGGGGTTGGGGGGTGGGGCAGCTAGGGGAGAGAGAAGTGAGGGGTTGGGGGGTGGGGCAGCTGGGGGGAGAGAGAGGTGGGGGTTGGGGGGTGGGGCAGCTAGGGGAGAGAGAGGTGGGGGGTTGGGGGGTGGGGCAGCTAGGGGAGAGAGAAGTGAGGGGTTGGGGGGGTGGGGCAGCTGGGGGGAGAGAGAGGTGGGGGTTGGGGGGTGGGACAGCTAGGGGAGAGAGATGTGGGAGTTGGGGGGTGGGGCAGCTGGGGGGAGAAAGAGGTGGGAGTTGTGGGGTGGGGCAGCTGGGGGGAGAGATAGGTGGGGGTTGGGGCAGCTAGGGGAAAGACAGGTGGGGGATTGGGGGGTGGGGCAGCTGGGGGGAGAAAGAGGTGGGGGTTGGGGGGTGGGGCAGCTGGGGGGAGAGATAGGTGGGGGTTGGGGCAGCTAGGGGAAAGACAGGTGGGGGATTGGGGGGTGGGGCAGCTGGGGGGAGAGAGAGGTGGGGGGGGCGAGGCAACGGAGCTACCATACTTCCGCTATTATCTGCGCAGTGCGCAAACTACCAGTTATGTGTTACTTATTTATTGGATATTTACTTTTGTTACTTATTTACTGTTTTAAGTTCACTTGTTTCCGGTTAGTTTGTTTTCTTTGTGCACGTTATGATTTTAATGTTAACAATTGATAGTGGAATGTATTACAAATGTAAACTTCGTATTAATATAATGGAATTAAGCTGCAGTAACAGCGTTAAATATATGAATGCGTGCGGGGTATATGGAGGTGCGGGGTATAAGGAGGTGCGGGCTATCTAAAATTTGTTTTACACAAAACGCTATTTTTGCGGGGTATATGCGTCTGCGGGTTATATGCGTCTGCGGGCTATATGCGGGAAAATACGGTAATTCAGCACGACAAATGTTTGGCACTCCAAATATCTGAAAATGTTCTATCATTGGAGGACAAGCTCCGAGTGTGGCATGAAACACAGTGGCTCTGCAGTAGGGCGAGTGGCTGACAATCGGAATATTGCGAGTTCAAATCCTGGTTGAGGGTTTACTCAGCCCATCCCTCCCCCTCCAGGGTTAATAACAATGAGCACCACCTTAACTTAAACGCATAGCTGTAATTTTAGGAAAGTATCCAACATTATTTCCATGCAAACTATATCATCTGCAAAGGCCTGGGGATGTTAATCTTCTGGACCGCACAGAGGTCTCAATATCGGTTTAAAAATGAACGACAGGGTACATCATTAACAAAAATCTCAATTGACACAGCCTGTACATGGGACCGCACCTCCAGATGTTTTACACGAGAGGTGACCGGGACACGAGGGTTACATTTGCAGGTTGAGGGCAGAGGAAGCATCAATGCCATTGTGGCTGAAGCAATGTCCCCTATGTATTATTATAAGACTGAAATATAGTACATATTCAACGTGTGGTCTAAAGCAGCGGAACCTGTGCAGGTGTTGAATGATGTAGGACAGGGTGTTGTAGTGAGGCGAGGGAAGTTGCTTCAGCAGATCCTGAAGTTTAGAGAGAATCCGGCCCAGCTCCGTGTGCTGGAATGCAGGGGCCGTGTGGCAGATTTCCAGAGTCTCAAGACCACTCTGGGGGAAGGCCTCATCGCCCAGTAGCAAACTCTCCCTGGCCAAATCCAGAAACGCTCCGTACAATTGAAACGGCACAATAGGCTCCGGCATCTGTCACAACATATTTGCACAGACACACATGTACAAAGCCATGACATACTTACATACATGACATGGCATAGATCACTATATTAAACCATTACTCCCCTCCTAATGGTCACCGGCACAACAATCTCATCTCAGATGTCAGAGGACTTCATCGCCCACTGTGAGTGAGACAAAATACACAAAGTATTTTTATGGTTTATACACCCCACAATCTGACGTATTATTAACCAGGGTGGCCTGCCGGTATCAAACTGTGAACCCCTGCACTGTCCCAGACCGAAGTGGAACACTCACCCGACGCAGGAAGTGCTTCAGGACGTTACTGATTACGTGCACCGGCTGCTCAGAGAGCTCCACAAGCTCGCGGCCATTCTCAAACGCAGCGCAAAGCCGGTCTACCTGGGTCTTGAGCCCATTTACGCGGTACAGGCCCTGCGGAAGATCACAAACATGAAGAACTAAATTGGTATTACACACAGCAATCATGTCGCCCTACTAGGAGACGCATGTCTACTTGCAGGCCAGCACCAAGTCACCTGCGCCACACAGCGACAACAGCTGCCACTGGGGGTGTTCCTTTGAATAGGTTGAGATGAGATGCAATGCCTAATGTGTGTAAAGCGTTGAGATGCCTCTGTGTGAAGGGTATTCTATAAAACAATATATTAATTTATATGAAGGCTCCAACCAATGTGAGAGCTCTCCAACAATATTAAATTGGCAGGAAACTCTGGGTTAAATACAATATAATAACTAGGTTGTTAAAATGTGTTTCTTTAAATTACTGGTAACCACAAAGAAAACCAGTAAATAGCAGTTACTGTTATTTAATGTTACTGTTTTTATGCACATACAGATATGTCTCCAGCAACAAGCATAACATGTGTTATCGCTGAGAAATGAAATCACTTTGACCTTTGAGTGTGACTGAAGATGAGCAGTGATTTAGAGCTGGCAAAAAGCAGAAAATCTACTCAAAGCCAAGCCTTCTCTGCAGAAGCTTGACATAATCTTGATTTGAATTTGAAGCTTTCGTGACTGCAGGAATTGCTTTTCCACCTGATGACGGACGCTTGTGTTGCGCCCGAAACGTTGTGATTTATTTTTATTTTATACTTACGTGACTTTACCAAAAGAATAAAAAAGTATAAAGCTTGACATAATTTCATAAGCATGGTATTTTTATCTATCCGTTGAGGAAGTGCTGTACAGCTAAACCCTGGCTATCAAAACTAATAGGAGGAGCCCTGTTCCGGTGAGCTTAAGTTCAGCTTGCCACAACACCAATCAAAATTAATAGAATAAATCACTAATAACCTTGTGTACCATAGCTAGCATTACAAACACATAAAACATGAATTACTCTATCCTAACGACCAGATAAGCGACACATGAAAGACAAAAAAACTACCGTGCTGCACTCAGTGTGTTGTGTATTGTACTGCAATCAGTGGATATGTACAGAATCAGAATCCTTTATCAGATTGTTTATTTAGACTAGAGGGATCTGATGAGCGATCAAAGCTATTTTTTCACAGATGTCCAGTAGGGGAAAGTCAGTACTCATGGTGGAGGCGCATCGATGTCCTTGGAAAAATAAAAGCAAAGCAGTAAATGCACAGCAGAGGAGAAAAAATCTAGAGATGAGATTATAGAACAGCAATTTACAGGGTATGCAGCTACAAAGCATGCTGCCACCTGCCATGCCCTGTGAACACTGCAGCAATGTGCTCGGAATGCTGTCATGAACCATTCATTGTTTCGCTGGTAACTGGTCCGGCAAAAACTTAAACCTGGCTCGTCAGGGGTGCTTGCCAGGGGTGCTTGCCGTACCTTAACACAAAGGGCTCTCCTCTCCATTTCGGCGATGCACGTGCGCACGACAATAGGTATTCCATGGGGCTCAGAGCGCGTCACAGCCAGCAGCTCCTCCCCAAACATGGCGGCTCGCACGCCGAGTCTTTGCCGCCCACACCGGATCAACAGCGTCTGCAGACACTTCCGGTGGCACACGAGGAAGCACTGCGACAACAACCAGGGCACAGGAGACACGGGTGTGTTAATTCTTCGTGCGTTGTTAAAAAAACACATGAATCAATCAAAGTCCAAGTCCATCTGCACTATCCACACTTTTCCAATGATTAAGATCTAAAACCGTTGATGCCACCACACCCCATTGCCAATACATAATTTTCACTATCGTTTTTTGTATTGTTTGTGGTTGTAACTTGCTGACCCGCCCCTTCTGGATATCTGTAATAAATTGCTTCATAGCTCATTGGATACCTCCAGGATAAATAAAAGATTCTGACATTCTACCCTCTGCCAGATCCCACAGCTTCTGCACAGTCGGGACACATGCCCTCCAATGTCCGCACTCAGTCTCCACCAACATTTGCTCTTAGTTCTTCTCTTTGACCCTTGATCATTGAACTTGTGAAGAACACTCCAGTGGAACTCTAAAAAGTAATTGGCCTATTTTTCCCACCTGTGAGTGTGTGTATATATGTATGTGTGGTCACGCAGTGGTTAGTGATTTCGATTGCCCCTCATGGCCAACACCAGTAATAATTATCTGAACCGGTCCTGGGCCTCCCCTAGGTCGAAACAGCTTCAATCGAGCACCTGGCGCGGTGTGTCAAATTTCCACTACGGAGACGAAGGCACCCACCCCCTCGTGTACTGTACCGGCCTTCATAGGTGCTCGCTAACAGTACTTGCCTCAACAGTCTGTGAAGGCTATACGGGGATCTTTATATACGTGTCATTACGTATGTAGCAAGTGACACCCTGCAAACCTTGCGAATAATGAGTTGTTCCATCAAGGGATTTTCCATGTAAAAAAAAATTGTCGAGGTCTCACCTCCTCACACTCTGCCCCCTGAAAGTAGATATAGGCATCACACTCGCGGCAACGTGAGAGGGCACGCAGCCGGCGTAGACGATGTGTCCGGGCAGCTACTGATAGGTCGGTCTTCTTGAAAGGTCCGGAAACAACTACAGGCATGCTGGTTGAAAGGGGATTCAAATCTGTATGAGAAAGAACAAACCATATAACATTTTTGCGTTGTTAAAATAGTTTCCTTTGCATTACCGGTTGCTGCTTGAACAAACCGGTCAAAGCAGTCACTGCTTTACCGCACATACAGAAGGCTCAAGCAACAAAATAATTTGTTTACCTTTTTAACTGAGAAACGAAGGCAGCTGCCACAGTGCTGTAATGGTTATCACACTGGACTTGCAATTCAGAAGTCTTGTACATTTATTCGAATCCACCCCCCCCCCCCAACACCTCTGTCCACCCAGCCATGTAGATGAGTTCACTACAGTTCGTTGATCGGCAGGTCGTGTGCGGTGGGATAAAGTGTGGATTATATCCACCAATTCCAAATACATCTGGTGAGTGTGGAAAAGTAGACCAAGTACCATCTAGAGCTCCCACTAGTGGAGGCCTTTTCGCCAGCACGGGCATGAGCAAACAATTGCAGGGCTACACATTTACATTTGAACTGAGAAACGAGGGAAAATTACCAAGCGATGACTTAGGCCTCTGTGCCGTTTGTATGTTGGCGTGGGCCAATCGGCGCATTCATAACTAAAATTTCACTGGAAACGATTACTGGTTCCTAAACTTCTACTTCATACATCATGAAAGTTACAGCAATTCAGGCACTGAAATTCCAGTTCTCAGCTGGGGCAAAAGCCTTATCTTTATTCCATAAGTGACATTAAAATCCTCACTCCACATTGTGCTATCACACTTTGGAACATTCAGCAAAACTCATTATCGTGGCCTCACAGACATATTGTGGTGTGTAGATGCTGGCATCAGCCACAGTTGATTTTTGGTTCACATAACACATCAATAACCTGACATGGTCAAACAAATTCAATGGTCCCCGTGTACAAGCGTTCAACACGCAGATTGTTATTATTTCAGCTTGCCGGTGAGTTGATCAGACAAGAGGTTTCAATTTAAACTGCCTCAAGCATCTTTAGGACAGAATCCAGGAGGTCACAATTGAGGGTTTTATGACACAGATTTTGCCACATCATTTTGTGACATCGCCCAAAAAGTCCATTAAGAATCATTAGATTGGCTGCAAAAACTTCCGTGTCAAGTTATAACACACATCAAGTTGGTGGACAGGCTCACTAAGTGCTACGATACCATTCTAATGAGCAACTAGCAGGAAGTACCCGGCGTTGCCCGGGGGAAAATATATATTTCAAAACTTGTCTTTTCTTAAAAACATAACACATACATACACAAATGCTAAGCTATTGTGAAAGCCCGGCGTTCCGTTTGTCTGTCCGTCAACAAAATTATAAGAGGCTTGTAGAAGTTCTGAATCAAAAAGTAATAGAAAGGGGGGTAAATAGTTGATCTAAAAGGTTTCTGAAAATTGGCAACCTACCCCTTAAAAAAATGTTTTTATCCCCCTCGGAGACATATATACCTTCACACCCTACATACAATAGTAGTATCTGGCTCTACAGTAGTATCTGGCCCTACAGTAGTATCTACTGACTATATTAGTGTAGTGTATGTCGACTGAGGCGCACACACACCGTTGTAGGAGGTAACGCGTTTATTAAACAATTCACTGTCCACCGGGCTTCTGTGGCCAACTTGTTCTAGGCTACTCACTGCGTGCGAGTCTGTTAACGCTCTTGATCCCCGAACGAGTCCCGAATCCCCGAACGCGCTCCCCCTTTCTCCCTTCGTCCCCGGCCCCGCCCCTTGCTGTATCAAGGAGGGCGCCCCCACTTCCGGCCACGTGTCCTGAACTCCTCCAATCGAGACACCGCTTCAGGTCACGTGCCCTTGACCCCTCCAATAGAGAACCACTTCCGGTCACGTGCCCTTAGTTCGTCCAATCGGGGCACCCGGCGCTCCTCCAGCAGTGGCTGGCGCAACCCACAGAGACATCTGTGTCTCTACACTTACAGCTTTGGCTTTATTCACGACACTCCAGTAGTATCGATTGACTCTATAGTAGTATCTACTGACTCTGTAGTTATATCTACTTACAGTACAGTAGTACCTACTGAGTATCATAGTATCTACTGACTGTATAGTAGTAGCAGTATCTACTGACCGCAGTAGTAACCACCGACCGTAATAGTATCTACCAACCATAGCAGTATCTGCTGACTCTATAGCAGTATCTGCTGACTCTATAGCAGTATCTGCTGACTCTGCAGCAGTATATACTGACTGTAGTGGTATCTACTGACTGTAGTATAATTATCTACTGACTCTATGGTAGTATCTACCGACTCTATAGCCGTAACTACTGACTCTACAGTAGTATCTACTGACTATAGCAGTAACTACTAACTCTATAGTAGTATCTGCTGACTATAGCAGTATCTGGTTACTCTATAGCAGCATCTACTGACTCTATATATAGTCGTATTTACTGACTGCAGCAGTAAAAACTGACTGTAGTGTTATCTACTGACTATATAGTAGCATCTACTGACTATAATAACTACTAACTCTATAGTACTATCTGCTGACTATAGTAGTATCTACTGACTCTATAGTCATATCTACTGACTCTGCAACAGTATATACCAACTATAGTGGTGTTTACTGACTGTAGTAGTATCCACTGACTCTATAGTAGTATCTACCGACTCTACATTAGTATCTAATGACTATAGAAGTATCTACTGAATGTATAGTAGTAGTACCCACGGACTATAGTAGTAACTACTAACACTATCGTAGTAACTACTAACTCTATCGTAGCATCTGCTGACTATAGCAGTATCTGCTGACTCTATAGTCGTATCTACTGACTCTATAGTCGTATCTACTGACTCTACATTAGTATCTAATAGTATCTACTGAATGTATAGTAGTGTAGCGGAGTAGAATGGGGAAGTGGTGTCACGTGGGCTGTCCAGGGCGATGACGTGATGTCATGGGCTCGGGGCAGCAGAGTGACGTCACGGGTCCTCAAGGATAAAAGGGGGACAATGTGACGTAAGCGGGGTCGTAGCTGGAGAATAGGGTCGGAGAAGGTGGGCAACGGGGAGCCAGGGGCAAGAGGGTAGGGACAGGGGAGAGCACAGTGCCAGGCGAGACGTGGCTGTGCTCCTCGGTCGGCCGTGTTGGTTGATCCCACGGCTGGCGCAGAGGAGACAGCACAGGGCAGCCGGCTGTGTCGGGACCTAGCCCGGGACCCCTAACCCCTGAGAAGTTGTTACACCCTTGTGTTATTTGAAGATTTGTAATAAACCCTTGGCGGAAGCCCTTACCTTACCTTAGCCTCCGAGTGAGTCGTCGGGAACTCCTTAACAGTAGTATATATTCACTCTATAGTAGTACCCACGGACTATAGTAGTAACTACTAACTCTATCGTAGTATCTGCTGACTATAGCAGTATCTGCCGACTCTATAGCAGTATCTACTGACTCTGCAGTAGATACTGCTATAGTAGTGGTATCTACTGACTGTAGTAGTATCAACCGACTCTATGGTATCTACCGAGTCTCTAGTAGTATCTACCAACTCTATAGTTGTATCTACTGACTCTGCAGCAGTATATACTGACTGTAGTAGTATCTACTGACTATATAGTAGTATCTACTGACTCTATGGTAGTGTCTACTGACTCTATAGTAGTATCTACCGACTCTACAGCAGTATTTAATGACTATAGTAGTTTCTGAATCCATAGTAGTATCTATTGACTCTATAGTAGTATCGACAGACTATAGTAGTAGCTACGAACTCTATAGAAGTATCTTCTAACTCGATAGTAGTATCTGCAGATTCTATAACAGTATCTGCTGACTCTATAGCAGTATCTGCTGACTCTATAGTCGTACCTACTGACTATGCAGCAGTATATACTGACTGTAGTGGTAGCTACTGAATGTAGTACACTCCAGTAGTATCGATTGACTCTATAGTAGTATCTACCGACTTTATAGTAGTAACTACTGACTCTTCAGTAGTATCTAATGACTATAGTAGTATCCACTGAATCTATAGTAGTATCTATTTACTCTATAGTAGTAGCTACTAACGCTATAGCAATATCTGCTGACTCTATAGCAGTATCTACTGACTCTAGCATCTACCGACTCTGCAGTAGTATCTCCCAACTCTATAGTCGTATCTATTGCTCTACAATAGTATGTACAAACTCTAGTCGTAACTTAAGACTCTATAGTAGTATCCAGCGACTCTACAGTAGTTTCTACTGACTACAATAGTATCTATCGATTCTATAATAGTATATATCGACTTAATAGCAGTAGCTACTAACTCTACAGTAGTATATACTGACTATAGTAATATCTACTAACTCTATAGTAGTATCTACCGACTCGATGACAGTCTCTACTAACTCTACAGTAGTATATACTAACTATAGTAGTATCGACTAACGCTATAATAGTAACGTCATTAATTACTACTCTACAATAGTATCTACAGACTCTATAATAGTGTAGGGGAGTAATGGATGACGTGACGTCATGAGCGCCGTGAGGTGTAATGACGCCATGTCATGAGCACCGTAAGGAGACATCGAGAAGAACGAGGGCGGGTCCGCGAAAGGGGGAGGAGCCGCCCAAGGGGACTTAAGGGGGACCCCCGTGATGAAAGCGGGGTCGTTGTGGGAGCCGGGACTGAGAGCGGCTGAAGGAGGTCTCTCCTGCTCATGACCGGAGGGTGTTGGCTGAACCCCCGTCCGGGTTCGACGAGTGGGAGAGCCAAAGAGATAGCCGAGGGCAGGGCGAGAAGAATCTGTGAGAGCCGGCTAAGAGTTAGAGGGGTTGCTCTCCTCGATCGGGCGGTGTTGGCTGGACCCCCGTCCCAACTTGAGTGAGAAAATCCAGGGGGATAGCCGAGGCTAGAGATAAGAGTAGAGCCTGGGCTCCACACGAAGGACCCCGTGTAGCAGACACCTACCTCTGGTGTAAGTGTACTTTCCCTGTCATAATAAACTACCTTAAGCCCCTACAAGAAGTTCTGTTTTCGCGTCCATCGTCACCATGCAACTGG